CTAGCTCTCTCTCCCTTGCTAGAATTCGGAGAGTTTGGTTTATGTCCTCGTCAAGTGGTAGCAAGGGTGCCCGGTTGCTCCGGGTCATGCACCTCCTACACACAATCGGAAAACACCAAGTCTAGCACAAGCAAAGAACACACTCACTTGCAAAACTAGAAATTAAAAGCTAGATTAACAACCAACAACTTTTTCAGAATAACAGACCGTTGTCCCCGGCAACGGCGCCAAAAACTTGACTCGCACGAAACTACACCACAATTAAACCCCAATTAGAGCCCAAGTTTTTAAACTCTAATCGGGTGTAGTATAGGGCAAGTGTTTAAATATCGACCCGAGCCGGTCCGTCTATCCCTACTTTCATTGTGGAAATCATTATCTAGCAACTAAACTTTGGTTTAAAAGGTTTCCTAATTGAAGTAAAAAGAAAACAAAGGTGATTGGGTTTGAAAACTCTTTTGTGGGAAAGTCACTCGGGTTTCGCTTCCGCCTAACCGCTACCATGCTATGTGGATTGGAACGATTGCCTTGGGCACGTTAATCGTGAACCGCAGAGGAATGCATATGTGGTCGGAGACCACAGTCTCAATTGCTAAACCGAGGTGAGGATGAAAGGCCGTAGCACTCAACCCTCTCGGTTTAGACTATCGGTAATTGACTTACTCCCTCACTCAACTCTAAGGTCGGACGGTTTAACCACGATTAATCAACTTGTTTAATTCAATATTGAGTGTTTGCCCTAACTCAACCTAGTTTAGGTGGCTTAGAAAGCGGAAGGAAAACCAACTCGATTGAGTCTCCCTTGAAAGGGGGATTTTCCTCTCTAAACTAGGCTAAGGTGGCAAATTAGATTACTAGCACCTAAATGTACAAACTTAGGGTGCTAAGCACAATTATGCACAATCCTTAGGATGTTAAGCACAAAACATGCACAACCCCCTAAGTTGCTAAGCACAAGCATGCACAATCATGGTGAATAATGCCTCAAAACATTGAATTGAACAATACCCAATAACAATCATCCAACCCACATACGAGAAAACTGCATGGTAGAGTTAGGGTTCCACTATACCCAAGTGAAATGAGGTCTACTCCATGGTAGAAGTGGAAAGAACAAAAGGGAAAAAGGTGGAAACCATCTTTGGGGATGCCTCCTCTCTTCTTGACCCTTGAGTTGAGCTTTCCTTGGGAAAATCTTCCCAAAAATCTGCCTTGAAGCCAACCCCTAACCTTCTTGTTCCCTTTGGTTCTGTTTCTCTCACTAGAATGCCGAAGAAGGTGTTTTCTCACAAAAGTGGGCTCTCCCTTCTCTCCTCCTTGCAGCTCAGCTTTTAAACCCGAGAAGAGCTGAGTTCACGGTCGTGAACCATCAAACGCGTCCGTGAACTCAAGGCATGCGCCAAAACGCTCCGCATCGCTCACGTCAGTTCACGGGCAACTTCTTGTGTTCACGGTCTTAGTGACCGTGAACTCACCTTGCGTCAGTAACCTTCACATTGGCTCTGGACGCCTCGCGATTCACGGTCAACTCCCCTTCTTCACGGTCTTGCATGACCGTGAACTCCTTCAGTTAGCCGTGAACTAGCTCTTTTTCACCTCTTCTCCCGGTTTTCGATCCTTTTAGCCAATCTTTCGACTCCGAGGCTGGTCTCACCTGTTAAATCCTGAAACACACTCAAACACGAAGAACCTAGCGTAAAACCAACCTTTAAAGAGCGAATTTGGCACAAACAGCTAGGTAAAACGGGGGCAAAATATATGCAATTAGACCCGAATCACTAACTAACTTGTTACGATACTAACTAACAATACTAAAATACTAACTACAAAACATTAAACAAGTCCCAAAACTAGCTACTAACTACTAAAATACTTTAAAAAAAACCTTTTGACAGATGAGTACAATTATTGTAGTTTAAGTGTTTAGTTGTTGTGTTTATTGGTAAATCGATATCATAAAACTCGGGAGCGGTTAGCGTGACTACCCTCCTAAGGGGGTCTGATTTTTGACACCCTTCTTAGATGCCGTCCATTTAATCCAATGGTAAGGATTAATCAATTGTTTATTAGGTATTAATTACACAATAAGTTTCTCTCACTATATTGGAAAATGGAAAGAATCTGGGGAAAAACGGTTGACACCCCTAATTCAAAATTCAATACCATTTTTTTCTCCCTTTCTCCTTCTCTCTCCCTCGATATCCCTCTTCCCCTGCTCACCGTCGTCACCTCTTCCCCGCCACGATCCATGGTTTCCGATCGTCAACGCACCAACAAGATCCTCTCCCTCCGACTCTCCCCCATCCTACGTCGTGGGCTAAGTCTCGGATGATGGTTGTTGCTGTTCTCCGAGCAACACCAGGCTTGCCGCCGCGACTCTCCATCTCCTTCCACAAAGATCGGCACTGCAAAGGGATCGACGGAGAAGATGACGACCCTCCTCACCTTCCCTACGAGATGACTTCACTCCTGCCGTTCCTGCGGTGGCCCTCCTCCCCTTCCCGGCGAATACGACGACGAAGAAACTGAGGTAGCTCTCTCTCCCCTACTGTCTCTTTCTCCCAAACCCAAATCAGGGTTTTCGTGTGGATTTTTTCATGTGGTATTAGTACCAGTGTACTGGTATGTCTATCACTGGAGTGGTATAAATTGTTGACTTTGGCAAAGAAGTGTGCCACTCCAGTGATAGTTGATTTGACAAAGTGTTTTGTGTATGTCTATCACCGAAGTGGTATATATTGTTGATTTTGGCACGAAAGTGTACCACTCCAGTGATAGTTGATTCTTGGATAATGAAGTGTTATTTTTATGACTACAGTCTATCATTACATTGATAGTTAGTCGTGTGAATGTTCTTGTATTTCTACCACTAGTGCGGTATTTGGTGTACCGTTGTAATTGTAATTGTACCACTTATAGTTAGTCGTGTGAATGTTCTTGTATTTCTACCACTAGTGCGGTATTTGGTGTACCGTTGTAATTGTAATTGTACCACTGATTTATATCACTGCAGTGATAGTTGCAAAGATGTATTGGTAATTCTACCACTGAATTCTACCACTATAGTGATAGTTGTCTTATCAAACTCATATTTCTATCACTGCATTGATAGTGTTGATTATTGTCTGCATGAATGGTCGGGACGAAGAGACCGTGACTTGGAGTGCCTAAAGGAAAGAGGCATCGAAGCTATGTTCCTCGCCATGTAGAAGTTGGGGTAGTTCAAGATCATTCCTCAGGTGCGGGTACCAACAAGAAGCAACGCTATGAGAGCCGGGATAACAGACCATAAAAGAGGAAGAGGAAACATACGGATGATGTTAGCGGCAAGAAGTGCAACCCCAACTTTATAATTCAAATTCTGTTTTTCCGTCAAATTACCTAAGTGACCCGGTCATCCTTCGACACCTGATTTACCGTTGTTTAGACTTCCCACAAACAATTTCTTAGTGACTTCATGTTTTATTTGTTACATTGGCTGGATATTTTATTATTGTTGGCATTTTCCTTTTTTGATAACACATTTTACTCCTCGGCTAGTGGTGATACTAATGGAAAATTGTTGGTTTGCTTACGTATTAAATTGGTTGTACATGTATCAGTTCAGTGGTACATGTATTAGTTCAGTGATACATCTATTAGTACAATGGTATGTGTATCAGTTCACTGGCACATCTTTCAGTTTAGTGGTACATGTACCATTTCAATGGTAACACTCAAAAGTATATCTAACACTACAACGAGAACATTTAGGATGAGCATGACTTGAATAGTTGCACTAGTACTTGTATCAGGTCATGGTACATATACCACTTTATTGGTACATGTATTAGTTCAATGAAATATGTACTAGATCAGTGGTACATATACCACTCTAGTGATACATATACCAGTTTAGTGGTACATGTACCAGATCAGTGGTACATGTTCACGACAATGTCGTTGTCTACTATACGTTGTAGGGTTGCACTTCACGACAAGAAGCGGTAAGAAATGAGTAATCGGTGCCCTCCATGTTCTTCTTTATCTCCGACGAGTTCTCCCTCGATAGCCAGCAATCCATCCGGCGGTCGGGATGCGAGTCCGATCTCGTCTGCACTTCCCCGTCATTCGATGCCGACAGAGGAGCTGCCGTTCTTGGCATGCCCAGAATCGCCACACGGAATCTGCGATCCGTCTTTCCTCCCGTGTGCCCTTCGTCGGCTCGATCTCCGGCGATATCCCTTGTGTCTCATCCTCTGGCGACGAGCAACCCACCAGGCGGGTCGAAGGGGATCCCACTGCGGCGATACCCGCTGGTTTCCGGCAGCCGTCGAGTTATGTAGAGGAGAGGGTTGAGTTTGTATTTTTTCGGGAGGAAAGAAGAGGAATATGGAAGCTCAATCAATTTTTCCCCATCCAACGTGATTTACTATTTTCCCATGAAAACGTAATTAATATGGGAACTTGCCCCATTTATAAAATTCTGGAAAAAATAAAAAAATCCTTCTATTAATACTTACCTTAAGATTCGGGATGAAATGGACGGCTGATGGCTGGGGTGTCAAAAACCCAACCCCTTTAAGGGTTAGCATATTATCTCATCCGATAAAACTCAAAACATTTCGCGAACAATATGTTTGACTATCAACATTTTGCTAACAAAAATCAAACCACATACTAACAGAAGGTAATTATGGTTAAGCAAAGCTGGTGTAGTAGCGTGGGGTTTAGGATTGGACCACAGATCGGAAAAAGTTTAAAGGTAAGCAGTTGGTTATGCTTTCTCCATCAACCCCCTCTTAATTGCACCTTTTAAGTTTTCCCTTTCTTAATTACAATTTTAATGCAGGAACCAAACCATCAGACATTCACGCCAACGCCAGTGATAAAAAAAAAATAAAAAAAAAAATTCCCAAACAGTCGCCGCCTCGTGACAGAGGGAGTCACAGTCACTATTCCATTACCACCACCACCACACCAGCCAAGCGAGGAAGGTCAAGTTCTCGTAATACGCGAATGTCAACAAGGGCAGTTTCGTCATTCCGGCTAGGACACCTCCACTACCACCCCCACACTACTCCGCTGTACAGTGCCAAAATCCATGGTGTTTGTCTCTCAGTGCACGGCGAGACGACGCCAGCGCAGCAGCAAGAGACAGACTTCACCGAAATACCAGTCACTAAAACCCAATCTTCCCTCCCTCTGCAAATGTGAGAGAGTGAGTGTCTTCTGTTCTCTTTCTCTTCTCCTTCCTCGTTTTCTCTCTGCTCTGTGCACTTTCCGCATACCTCCAAATTCCCATTTCACGAAGAGAGAGCAAAGAAGGTGAGAGATGAAAAGAGATTCATTCTTTTTCTCAGCAGAACTCAACAACAATGCTTCCTCTCTCCCCTCCTCCATAGATTTTGACGTTTCCCCTTCTCCCTCTCACCTCTTTCATCTTTACCCATCTCTGTATTACAATTAGAAATAATAATAAATAACAGCAGTGTTAAGAAAAAGCCGAGTTGAAAACTGTGCAAGCCGTATTTGCATGGAGAGAAGATAAAAATCGTTTGTCCCACCACCACCAATTCCCTGAATTTCACCCTCGTTTGTTAAAAAAAAAATAATGTTTTTGTGGCTCTTCCAATTTTCATTCGTACTCCATTGCTTCCTGCCGGCAGGTAGCCTCTACATCTCTTTCGCCTGATTCCGGCGACGGAGACATTAATGGTAGGAAAAGGGGTGAGAGCCAGAACTGTGAATGCTGGGTTTGCTTTCATGTTTTTCTCTATGTTGAGATTTGATTTTCCGTTTCCTTCTTCCCAATGCCGAACGATGCATCTGCCTTTTTTCCCCCCTTCTTTTCTGGGTTTTTGCTTTTTCCTTATGGGTCTTTGCAGAGCCAGTCAAGAAGCGTAATGGTTAATTCACCCATTGCTGCTTTCTCTTTTTGTTTTTCTCACAACTGCTTCTGCTTTCTTCCTACTGCTTTGTAGCAGCTGAAGCCAGAGCTTGGGCAAATCTGTTTCTGATCTCCCGTCGTCGCGTAGATGCAGTTCCTGCCCATCTAACCCAGGCTGGAAGCCCTGGAATCGGTTCAGATCAAAATTACCTCATCTTCACTTCTCGTTGCCATCATGCGCTAGCGGGAGTTCAGGAAGCTTCTTAAAAATACCCAACTCCCGGCCGATTCTGTTAGACGTCAGTGGTAATAGTGAAATTTTGGTTGCACACGTTGTGTTTGATTGTGTGCGCCAGTGGATCTAAGATTGATGCTGGCCACAAGAGCAAACAGAGAATTTTTTTCACATCCTCGTGTTATTTCTTAGTGATCTCTTCTGTTTTTCCCCGGCACAGGATTAGATTCTATACCGGCGAGGAAGGATGTCTGCTTGGGGTAATTTTGGGGAGATTGCGAATGTGGCCCAGGTCACTGGTCTGGATGCAGTGCGGCTAATTGGGTTGATAGTCAAAGCCGCCAGCACAGCCAGGATGCACAAGAAGAACTGCAGACAGTTTGCTCAGCATCTCAAGTTGATTGGGGGCTTACTGGAGCAGCTTAAGATCACTGAGCTTAAGAAATATCCTGAAACAAGGGAGCCGCTGGAACAGCTTGAGGATTCACTGAGGAGATCGTACATTTTGGTGAATAGCTGTCAGGACAGAAGCTATCTCTACTTGCTTGCCATGGGTTGGAACATAGTCTACCAATTCAGGAAGGCGCAGAATGAGATTGATCGGTACTTGCGGTTAATTCCTCTCATCACACTCGTGGACAACACTCGAATCAGGGTAAACTCTTGTTCCTTGTTCTGGTTCATTGGTGGAGATCTGGTTTTATCAGTGCATTCACGTATCCGAGTTTTTTTTTCCCTTCCCCTTTTGGTTTTCTTATGTAGGAGAGACTTGAAGATATTGAGAGGGATCAGCGCGAGTACACATTGGATGAAGAGGATAGAAAGGTTCAAGATTTGATCTTGAAATCTGAGTCCGTCAAAGATCAAACTACCGTGTTGAAAAAAACTCTTTCTTGTTCGTACCCAAACATGTGTTTTAATGAAGCTCTGCAAAAGGAAAGTGAGATGCTACAAGTTGAGCTACAGAGATCACAAGCTAATATGGATGTGAACCAATGTGAGGTTATCCAACATCTGCTTGAAGTTACAGAAGTTGCAGCAGCAAATGTTGTGCCTGAAAGGAGTTCACCCAAGAAGGCTTCAAAGAAATCGGAGCCTGATTTCTCAGATATGAACGAGAAGGAACATACATTTGATGAGAGCTATCCAAGGAAAAGTGACTCTCGTACCACCTCAAGGTTAGACTTCTTCTAACGTAATTGCCTGTATTAGTTGGGGTTATTAGTCCAATGGATATCAGTGCTGAAGGTCAATGCTGCCAATCAGGTAAAATGTAATTTCCTTTGGAGTTTACAATTCCCTAGTTGGCAGAGATGACTCTGCTTGGTCTGGAGATTATTATTAGTTTGAATAATGGAGCTACTATCAAAAGGTGCCTTAACCAAAAGTTGCATAGGGGGAAAAAGACCAACGAATCTATTGTTTGCAGCCGCAAATTAATTTCAGAAATCTGAAACTGTTTTCTTTTGTGCAGAAACACGTCCTCAGTTTCTTCTAGGAAAGACTTGCTGTCCCGAAGAGGTTCCAGTCTGGATGAAGAATGGCACTCCGATTTGCTTGGTTGTTGTTCAGAACCTTTACTGTGTATGTCTTCCCAGTGACTTGTATTATAGTTTTGTTATACTCGCTCGATTTCATGTCCGAATTTCACCTCAGTTTGCATCTTAATTCTTTTAGTAATGTGAGTTCCTGGAGTCTTGTATATCCTTTTGCTATAAAGAACAACTTCCTGACCACATGTTGTGCATACCTGGTTCCTTTGAGAATTGTGCACTACATGTAATGTTGACTGGTAGAGGTTGCTTCATGAGCTCCAATTTTATCAAAAGGAAACTTTGAAAAACTGTTTGTGCCTTATATTCTCCTGTGAAGTATATCGTTGGGAGAAAAATTACACTTGATATGGTGTATAATCATCCTATTTTCAACTGCAGGTATGAAAACATTCTTTTACCCATGTGGCACATTCTCAAAGATAGCAACTGTAGCATCAGGCAATCACATGTGTAAGTGGCTAGCTAGGACTTTTGTAATGTTGCCATAACATTTGTATCTCTGCCCATTGCAGCAAAGAACTACAAATCCCAAAACCTAACGTGGGAATTTCTTTTTTATCATGTTGACTGCAGCATCAGCAGAAGCATGCAACGACCTGATGGCGTACTCATTAATTCTTTCATGTTGCTGTTACACCTGTTGTATTAGAAGGAAGCTCCGCAACTTGTTCAACATCTCTGTAATACCCCTACAAGCTCTCCTCGTGATCCACACGAGTTAATCCTCGAGTTTTGGTGTAGGTTTGTGATTGAAAGAACTTGTACCTTTCTGACATTTAGGATCCTTGTCTTCAGGGTGGTTTCATTGACGATTTTCTCTCACATTTGATGTGCTGCTGCTGTGCCCTTGTCCAAGAATGGCGAGAAGTTGAGGCTCGAGGTGCTTATGGTGTGTATTCCTTGTGGACTTATGTTTTCCAGCTTTCACAGCATTTTGAAGTTTTATGTGTAGGCTAAACATAACATACTGATGCTTTTGTAGATCCACATAAGACAAAAATGAGGCCTCCACCCACGCAATCGATGGAATCCTAGGAGGGTATGGATTCAGCATTTGTTTGGTTGCTGCATCAAGGTGTTCATACAACCGTGAAAGCCAATATAACATAGGCAATGAATGGGCTGCTTGCCGCCATATACCTGGAGTTTTACCTTGGTTCTTCTTTTCCGTTCATAATCCCTTTTCACATGCAGCATTGGCAGTTTGTAAAGTAGCTATAAGAACATTTTTAACCTCCAGCACATCATGTATCATATACTAGAAGTTGTTTGGAATCATATAGGGTTTGCCTCGATATATCTTGTTACTTATTTGCTACTCGTGATTTAAATACAACACTACCCAGAACTCATCGGAAGAATTTGAAATGATTTTGCCTATGGGATGGATGCTCACGATCCAACTCACTAGTTTATTTCGATGATGAATGGAGGTAGGATGGCCCCAAATATGCACCAAAATGCAGTGATCATAGTGAGAATAATTTGCCTCCAATACTTGAAGCATTGATTTGAAACAGAGAATCCTTTGCACTCAAATGAGAATGTATATATAGGGTTAAGGGCTGACTAAAGTAAATGAGAATGTATATAGGGTTAAGGGCTGACTGAAGTAAATGAGTTTTGTTGCACTCCTGCAAACGAGCTGAGTCGAGTCGAATTTTTGATTAGTTTGAGCTCAGCTCGTTTATAAATTTTTTAGCTCGAGCTCGGCTCGAACTGGAATTTTGATCATCCAGCTCGAGCTCGACTCAATTAAAAATAATCCAGCTCGAGCTCGGCTCGATAGAGCTCGGTAAATGCTCATTAACACCAGCTTGTCAAGCTGAGTAAAAGCTCGACTCAATATAAGCTCGATTTGAAACCATTCTTGCTGAAAAATGTGTACAAATAAGAACATTAGAAATTAAAAATGATAAAAAGAACACTAGAACTAAAAATAACATCTAATTTCATACACATCCTTATTAACAAGATAATTTTTATGTTCAGAAGAGTAATTAATCCTCCACAAGCTTTAAACAAGCCAGTTCGCGAGCATAGCTCAACAAGCCACGGAGTCAAGCTAGCTCACGAGCTTATCAAGCCGAGCATGGCCTAGCTCAAGCTTGACTCGTTTACTAACGAGCCGGCTAGTTAAACAACGAGTCGAGTATCGAACGAGTTTTTTCCGATTCGAACACCGAGTTGCTCGCGAACGGCTTGGCTCATTTGCAGCCCTAGTTGGGGCACTAAAAACATTTCAACGGTATAGCTACTATGAGTTAATGACTAATGGTAAACTTTAAGTAATCTTCGAGTCAGGTAGAGGGTTTTACTTGATAATAAGGTTGTTCTGGTTAACCACGATGATAATTAGGTTTATCACTTTTTTTTTACAAAAGATAATAATATATTGATTGAAAAAAGATAGTTACATTCTTTAATTCAACCAGGTTTAAAAATAAAGAAACGACTCATAGTCGGGTACAAAGACAGAGCCTTTATAGCCACCACATGAGCTACCCCTATTGCTACTCCGACCTACAAATCACAGGCTGAACCCCACGTTCAAAACAAAGATATGCACAATCTTTTCCAGAATAGTCCCCACTTGAATTAGGTTTATCACATAGTCAATCGAACTACTCACAAATTAAATTAAATTTTCCACTTCTAGTTTTTGAAAATATTGATGGTTAGTTTTGTAGAGTTTTATCTAGTTTCATGATAAATAACTCCATCATAGGCATTGGAAACTTTGATTGCATAAAGTACAGATGGCAACGGGTCAGGTCCGGGGCAGATAATGTATATCTATTACCCTATTATAGGGCAGCAAACGAGTCGAGTCATGTCGAGTTTTTTCTTAGCTTGAGCTCGGCTCGTTTACAAAAAATTTAGCTCGAGCTCGGCTCGAACTCGAATTTTGACAATCTAGCTCGAGCTCGATAAATGCTCATTAACACAGCTTGTCAACCTGAGTACAAGCTCGGCTCATGATGAGCTCAATTTGAAATCATTCTTGCTAAAAAATGTGTACACATAAGAATTTAAATGATAAAAAGAATACTAGAAACTAAAAATAATAACTAACTTCCATACAATCCATATTAACAAGACAATGTTCATGTTTAGAAGAGTAATTTATCCTTCCACAAGCTCTAACCAAGTTAGCTCGCGAGCTTAGCTCAACAAGCCACCGAGTCAAGCTAGCTCACGAGCATATCAAGCTGAGCATGGTCTAGCTCAACCTTGGCTTGTTTACTAACGAATCGGCTCGTGAGCCGGCTTGTTAACTAACGAGCCGAGTGTCGAATGAGTTTTTCCCGATTGGAACACCGAGTTGCTCGCGAGCAGCTTGGCTCATTTGCAGCCCTACCCTACCCAAAGTAGTATGGTTTTACCCATACCCACATAAGAAATGAGTAGAAAATCAAAACCATGCCCATATCCGTTCGGGCTTCGGGTATCCATGGTTATCCAAGGGTAAGAATTTCTCTTTATAACTCCAACCAATATGTTAACATTCACACGCATTCTCACATTACATAAGAGGAAAAGTACGACAATAATTCACTAGAAAAAAAGAAAATTAATTAAAACAACACTATTTCATGAAAATATTATATTTATATGCTAAATATAAAATATGTTTGAGAAAAATAATAATTATTTCTAGACAAAATACGCATGCATGTGTATAATAGGGCGGGTTCAGGTTGGATAGTGAGAAAAAAATGCCCACCCATTACCCGCAATATTCAGATTTGTGTTTTACTCGTACCTATCAAGAACTAGTTGATCCCAATGACTCGAGTTATTGGGACCAACTGGTTATTGACATGGTATCAAAGCTGGTTTGGCCAAGTGATCGTGTGTTCGAATCTGCATGACCTCCAATATTAACAGTTGATTAAAGCACATGGTATGGTGGGCTTGTGCAAACTTCAAGCTCATAGGTTGGCTTTCGTTTGAGGGGGCGTGTTAGAGAGTGATATAAGATCCAGCATAACCTTCTCCCAACAACTCGAGTTATTGGGACCAACTAATTATTGACAGTACCCACTAAAAGTCCTTCAGGTTCGAGTTTTACCCTACCAATTAGATCGAATTTGGGCGAATATCCACAGTTTCAGATATGTTTACCCTCCCTAGCAAAAAGCATGAACAAAATAATAATGATATTGAAGAAACATGGAGATGAATCAAGGATTTGGGACTTTAATTACTAAAACTTGATAACGTGAAAATGCTACCCATACAAAGCTGGGGAAAATCTCAAAATACATACGTTATTAAAAAATATTCCCAAAATAAATATGTTATAAAAAATATTCTCAATCTACACATTTTTGGGCTTCACCGCGAGCGTCAACCGCAGTGAACAACATCATCGCGACTGTCAACCGCGATGAATGCTTCACCGCCACTGTCCGAAGCGGTGAATATGAGTCTGTCCATTCACCGCTGGTGTCCCAAGCGGTGATGGGTGGCCTAATTTTTGGCCAAAGGTCCACTGGCCGGAGTTTCTGTTGCGTTGGCACTGGACCAAAATGGAGAAAAAATCCAGTACTTTTGGGTGCTTGATCGCCATTGCACCCAGCGTCGACCTCAGCAGCCGCGCCGGATGCTTGATCAACAGATGAGGGATCAAATCCTTCGCCGGCCCAGGCACCGCCGGCTACCGGGGAAACTCCAATGCCCTCGCCATCACGCTCGCCAGAGTTGACTCGTGATCGCACCCTTGAAACGGCGTCACCCGATAGAACATCTCGTACCCGAAGATCCCCAGGTTCACCAGTCCACCTCGCTGTCGTGCCCGCCCCGGCGACGATCTTCTGCGCCAGGTACTCGTGTGTCCCCACGAACGACATCGACCGAACGTCCACAGGCTCTACCACGATCTCCGGCGCACCGTGGTGGGAGGACCAGGAGGAGCGGTTCTTCTTCTTGTCGTTCTTGTTCCGGTTGCGGTTGGCGTGGTGGTCGCTGCCGCCGCTGCTGCATCAGCTTCATGATGTGTCGTTGAGCAGAGAAAAACATACAGAGAAGGCCAACCGACACATGATATGAAGAGGAACACTTAATAATGTTTGTTCACACACGCTAATCAATAGGAAAAAAAAACTAAAAAACGAAAAACCCCAATGGATGAATTTTGGGGCGGAGCTACATTCATCACATGGTGGGCCCCGGCCTCCCCGGAATTGGTTCGGGTCCCTAAAATGTTCAGGATATGTAGTACAAATTTTATAAGTAAAATGTGTTCTATAAATTTTGTGATGTAATAACTATGTGGTCTAATGGCAGCCAAGCTTGACTTGTGTCTAAATGCACATGGGTTTGATCCCCATTGACCACATATATTTTGTTTAATTATTTTTGGCCCCTCCGGTCTTAAAATCCTGGCTCCGCCCCTGGATGAATTCACATGATTTGGCAACCATATGCTATGATTGATTCTGTTTCCTTTTCTGTTATAAATAACCCTATTCCCAAGTACCTTTTTCGGAAAAAATTAGGCCACCTATTACCGCTTGGGACACCAGCGGTGAATGGACATGCTCATATTCACCGTTTCGAACCGTGGCGGTGAAGCATCATCGCGGTTGACGGCTGCGGTGATGTTGTTCACTACGGTTGACGGCTGCGATGAAGTTCAAATATGTGTAGATTGATAATATTTTTTATAACGTATGTATTTTGAGAAATTTTTTAATAACGTGTGTATTTTCTTTTGGGATTTTTTCCTACAAAGCTTACATAGACTATTTTTTATTGTTAAATCAAACTATATTAAGTACAGGTCAACCAAAAAAAACTAGGCCGCCTTTTCCAATTGTTTACAAACCATTACAAGGTACTTGCTTTCCAACTGCGAGGAATTTTACTACATTGGTACTTTTAGTTTTTAGTACAACTTGAAATTGTAATTTTAATATTATGGTATAACTTTAGATTGTACCTATATATTTTTTTTTTAAAAATCGTTTTATGGTACAAGTTAAAGTTGTACTTTTTTTGTTAAGTACAACTTGAAGTTGTACCATAATGTAAATGTCAAATTCCCTTATGGTACAACTTCAATTTGTACCTTTAACGTTATGGTATAACTTCAAGTTGTACTTTAAAATATCAATACTTTAAAGCATAGTAGAAGTGGTCCAACACTATACCAAGAGCAAAACAATAGCACAGATTACCACCACTCCATCTCCAGCTTGGCTTAGATTTGTCTTCAACTCACAATTACTGGCAGGCGCACATCTAACCATACTCTGGTTACGCAAACATATAGGGGTATTCAAATGGTTATCATGGTTATTACCAAACCAAATAAGGGTAAATTTCATTAACCATGGAATACAATATCATAACCAAAATGTCCAAACTAATACAACAACCAAATTAACCAAACTAAAGTTTAATTGGTTTGGTTAATTGGTTAACCAGATTAACCAATATAAAATCATATTATCATTAAGTGAGAAAATTTTTGGTTAATTTATCAATTCACAATTTATATAATGAATAAAACATAACAATCAATGTTCATAAAAAAAACATAACAATCAACACATAGTTACAGTTGACCCTTAAAATAAATACATGCAACTAAGACAATTATCTTACGGTTAGTATAGAAGTATTCACCTAACAAAAAGTTATCACAATGGTATGGGTTAATGAATTGTTGTGTTTGTTTGAATTGACTTAGTCTTTTAGCAATTTTCATAGGCGGAAAAGGGTCATGCTTTCAAGTTTTCATCCAACATAATGTATGAGATTTATCTAAATTAGGGGTTCATATGTTGTGGTCTACACTCTACATATACAAATATACATTATAGGAACAATATCAAGCTTTATATTTTATGAGTCTAAAAGGATGAACGTTTAACTCTTGAGTGGTTATTCAAAGTATTAAGTATGTGTATATATTAGATATATGACTAATTATTTATCTGGTTAATTTGGTTTGGCTGGTTAGGAGTGTCTGAAACCAAACCAAACCACCTAAACCAAACAAGCTAAAAACTTTAACCAAACCAAACCAATTATCCAAATTAACCAAACCAAATTATCCAAATAATACTGGTTAAAACGGTTACCATGGTAACCACACCGTTTGAACACCCCTATAAACATAGATATATAAGGGACTAAGCAGTCTTTTGTTTTGCCCATATAAGTACATCTTTCCCAATCCCTCCACACAAGACTCACAATCAATGTACTCAAAAGTGTGTTTCTACGTAAAAGCGTTATGGTGACCTAGAACGCTCAATTTTGATCAAGAACGCTCAATTTGCCTAAAAATACTCAATCAATATATATTTAAACATGCTCATCATCATATAGAGTTCACAAACATCAACTACAACATCCTATACTAGAGTTCACATAATCCAAGTGAAAAAACTATTTCATAGCTAGAAAAAGATTAACAACTAGAAAAGAGAAAAAAACCTCATGGGAACGTGATTCTTTGTCTTCCTAGTTGTTTGGATTGGTCCTTGGAGATGAAATCTGGCCTCCAAATGGTTTGGGTAGGTCAAATCCACAATCAATTCTCCCGTCCTCGTAGCTTTCTCTATATAGGTTAAGGAACAAGAATCTCAATCTCACTCTAAACTCTCCTTTTTGAAATTCTGCTCCTTCTCCTTTATATAGCCTGTGAGTGCAGGTTTCACGATTTCACATCACACACGCGAATCGTAATCTCAGTGTAAAACGCTTTTCTTAATGAACATGCTTCACGATTTCCATACTTACTTCACGGTCTGAGACCGTGGTCCTTGCACTGCCGTCAAGACAAGCGAAACCTCACGGAAATCCACGAGTTTCAAGACCTCCTTGTAATCTTCACGGTCTGTTGCCCGTGATAATCCCCTCCAAACCGGGATCTATTCACTTTTCTTCGTCTTGCTCCCTTTCCGATCTCTTTCGTCCAACTTCCAGACTTTCCGTCGATGTCACTTGTTGTGGCCTGAAACATAGTTAAACATTCAAAAATCCAACATATAATAGCTTCAAAACGACGATAAACAAACTAAACATCCAAATAACCATGGTAAAAACTAGAATGAGTCGAATAAATACAATACCGATTTCCATCCCCTTAGAAATCAAGACAAAAACAAAACCCTAGAGCTAACTAAAGACAAAGAGGAAGAGTCGCTAAAAGAACATGTAGAGAAGGAGAGAGAAAATAGAGGTAAAAGGAAAACAGGGAAAGGAAAAAGAAAATTTAGAGGGGCAGAGCTGCAAAAATCCGCCGCCCTCTCCTTCTACCTCCCGTTTCCTATCGATCTCTCCCGTACGAGAATCTATATTTTTTTTTGTTAAATCGTGTATCGGCATTTTGCCAATCGCACCTCCGAACCCTAATTTTCTGGTTCGATTGGGTGTCCTTATGGTTTTATTTTGGAATCACGCCGATCAGAAAACCAGTCTCTGAAAATACACTGTTAATTCCACACCATATGACACTTTTTTGACACTCTCTCCCTCTCCCTCCGGTTTCCTTCCCCTACTCCTCCCTCTGAGGGTTTCTCTGGTTACGCGCGCTAATGGAGAATAGCGGCAATAATATCTCTCAACCTCAGCAGCTTAATAATCTGCAATCTCGCCGTGCCGGCAAGACGGCGTTTGTTTCATCGGCGTGGAGTCACGTCGTTAGAGGGGAGTCAGAAACAAGCTCGGTGGCTCCTTTGTCTCCACCGGCAGCTGTTTCTTCCCCTACCGCTCTGTCGGAACAAGTCTTGGGTTCCGCTTCGTCCTCTTCAAATACGGATGATGAGATCTGTAATGGCAATGCTGGTAAGAGACCAGCTTGGAATGTACCGTCTAATGGGGCTGTAGAGATTGGACCTGTTATGGGAGCTGTTTCCTGGCCTGCTTTATCTGAATCCGCTAGGGTTTCCTCTAAATCGTCCCCGCCCGATGGATCATCATCTGCGGTGCCTGTCTCGGTACAATTTTCTTTTCGCATCACTTTTTATTCTGATTGACGGTTACATTCTGGCTTTGTCAACTGATAGATGGTAAATTAATCGAGTCTAATACAAGCTGATTTGATTTGGGATGCTTGTGTACTTGCACTTCAGTTATGTGATCTTCACCTACTATAGGCGAACTAGATAGATAGAAGAGAATTAATTCCCATTCGTTTCTCAATAGGATTGGACATGGTGGTTTACTTTGTTGTCTCCCCGTATCTTGGTGCTTCATTATGGCTTATTAGAAACATTGCTCTTTGCTTGATTGTGTAGGGAGGGGGACCTGCATCCTCGTCTCCTCAGAGACAAGTCAATAATAATGCAACTCCCAACTCAACTCCAAACCATACTACTCCACAGCGCCAAAGATCAATAAAACCGCGTAACAGCGCTCCTTCTGATGGTAGCTATCCTCAGCCCTTGGTAGTGTCACAGGGACACGTAGCGGAGGTTCATCACTCAAATAACCCTTCTCCTAGGGACCATGGCTCAAGAAGTTCTCAGCTCCGCAGTAGTAATGAACAGCATTCAGGGCAGCAACGCAGTTCATTCAGAAACCGCAATGGTGGTGGCCCACATTCTCGTGCAGATGGCTCTTACAATCATCATAGTTATGGAGGAGGTAGGCGTGATCAAGACCGCGGAAATCAGGACTGGAATACTCATAATAGGAGTTTCAATGGTAGGGATGGCCATGTGCAGCAGCCACAGAGGGTCACACCGAGGTTCGTGAGGCACCCACCTCCTCCTGCGTCTACACCTTTTATGGGACCTGCTCCAGTGCGGCCCTTTGGAGCTCCCATGGGTTTCCCTGGTATGTTGTGTATCTACCTCAGGTTCTCTTGCTTGCTAATAATTGTTATACTCATTGATTACTTAATCTTCTATTTCTTCCTCTCTTTTAACTGCTTTTGTTGGCTCTCACAGAATTGGCTTCTCCTTTGTATTACATGACTGGTCCTCCACCTCCACAAACTTTGAGAGGAGTGCCTTTTGTTCCAGGACAAATACAACCTCATGCAATGTTCTTCCCTGCTCCAGATTTTCAGTTGCATTCTAAAATAGTGGCTCAGATTGATTACTATTTTAGGTATCCCGTTTCATGTGTACTTTGCATTAAGCATTTGAGAATGAAGTGTTTCTGTATACTTTGAGTGCCTGATAATGATATGAACTTATTTGTGTATTGCAGTAATGAAAATTTAATTCGGGACACCTTTTTGCGCCAGAATATGGATGAAGAGGGCTGGGTACCCATTAAATTAATTGCAGGCTTCAACAAAGTGAGTTTAAGCCTGGCAAGTTCATACTTTTTTGTTCCATGTTTGAAGTTAATTTTCAGTATCTTTTCCCTTCGTTCCCACTTCATTTCAATTGCTCATATTAGAATTTAGAACATGGGAGAAAGTTGGTCTATAAGCCGGTAAATGCTCAATACTTTTCTGGTACACAACTTTGAATAATGCATCATTGAAGTCCGGAGCTTTTGTGGGGCTACATATGTTTTAACTTTAACAAGATCAATGTTGATTGCTGTTTTTTTTTTTGTCATAAAATGCTCTAGTATCAATTTTGTTGCATGATGTGTAAAGCCTTCATGTGTATTTCATTGTTTTAGATGAATACAGATTCTGGATTTATTTGGTGCTCAATGTATTTCCACATACTACTAATTGTTGAAAGACTGAGTTTTGCAGCTATAAGGGGATCTTTACATAAATCATCTGTGTGTGTTGTTCATATAAACTGTGATATCTTTAGTGCTGATTCATATTCTGCTTCGAACAAAAATTCCACATTCATGTTGGATATTACTGGACATTACTGCTAGACCAGTATCCTTGGTTATTGTTTCCAGAAAGAACTGGTATGTGGTCTATTAGCTGCTTCTGTTTGTCCTCTGGTATGAATTTCCTGAAGTTAACGTGTTATTTCTTTTCTAAATTGATTGACTTGTGTCTCGAGGGGATATGGCCTCAGTGTAGGTTTTGTATAGAAATAGGGCTCAGTTTGAAGTGATCTTAGTTAAAATTGTGTTTATATCAGCTTGTTGTCTTTTATGAATCATAACTGAATGGTTTTGAACTCATTTCGTATTGTGAAAGTCCGGTTGTTTGAGCTGTGTTTGATGTTCTTGGTGAGAGTACAACTGAAGTTTCCATTTTTGGTTATTATTCTATGTAACCTAGAACAAAGAAAGAAACACAGATATGAAAGGCACGGATGTTCCAAGTTTCTCTTTTGGATTAAAAATGATGATTGGATAGTTGAAGATTATATGCTTGCCTTTATTGTATGCAAGCATACCTTTGATGTTGTTGATGTCTTTGCCACGATTTTCTGGTCTGCGAAGATCATCTTGTATTTGAGAGTTGACTGTGTTCGCTTCTAGAAAATACTTGTAATAATGTTCATTTACTGTGTTCGCTTGTGGCTAGCTTTAGAGTAGAGTTATCCAGTGGCCATATTAATAATACATTATGAGGATATTTTTGTGCAGGTTTCACATTTGACTGATAACATACAGTTTATATTGGATGCGCTCAGGTCTTCCACTGTGGTAGAAGTGCAGGTATCTCTTGGTTCCCTCTTTATTGACATTCTTATGCGCTGGCTAACAATTTTACTAAATGACTGATTGATCCGATTGCATTGTACGGTAGGGTGACAAAGTAAGAAGAAGACACGACTGGATGAGGTGGTTATTGCCACCATCTGTTCAGTTTCCAAGTGCCCCTAGCCCTAGCCCTCAAGGCCTTGGGAAGTCGAATCAAGAGATGCTTGCGGGTAACGTGCAAAACATGTCCTTAGAGGAGGTGAGTGGCCAGAGTAACGCGAGACGTCAAGCTGATATTCAATCAAAGGCATTCCAAAGTAGATCTTCGTCAGGTGATTTTAGTAGTCAACCACAGCCATCATCTAGCCATGAAGGTCTGGATCACTTCACTTCTGCCAAGAATTGAAGCGTGGATGTGTTCTGATGCACATCGATGGTGCTTTGGACGAAAAGTGTGGAGCGAGGGGAGGGTTTCAACAACATGGATGGGTAGTGGTCTTGCCTTGATCGCGATGAAACATGGTTTCTCGTCGAGGTCTTCTTCTAGAACATATATGGTGGTTTAGGAAACAAGGTTCCAGCTTTTGAAAAGACCAAACACAAAAACAAAACAAAAAAAAACTAAAACATCAATTTCTTTTTTAAAAAAAATGAAAAATCGGAAAGGAAATGAAAAATCAAAGGAAAATTAGAAACATAAGGCAGTAAACGTTTTTATGGCTGAAGATGGTGGCATCAGATTATTGGAATTTTGTAAAGAATTCATTTTTTTCTTTGGGACTATTATCCTTTGATTCCTCCCGCCTAATTATTCGTTGTGGCACCATTGGTTTGAATGGGGAATTTTTGACATTGCTCCCTGTATGTTATGGTATTGCTCAGCCAATTTTAGTTCTTAGGGTTAGGGGTTGCATTCAGGGACGCCGAGTCTTTTTTTATAGACAATACGGCGACGAGAAAGTGGCGCATTGAATTGTCTTTTGCGACTGGTGCGGGTGCCGTTGGCCGAGCTCCATCTGAATCTGACGTGTGCCAATTTCTCTCTTATTAATAATTTTGATGATTATGAAGCCTTCTAGAATAATCTTCTTTTGCTGGATGTATGTTATAATTTGCTTAAGTGAGTGCATATAGTGCAGTATTCTTTACCATATTCAAATTAGTTTGGTTTTACTCATATCAACGGAAAAAGAGTTGTTGGAAGGACTCCTCTTCTTGCCCATAGCCATAGGTTGGGCACTACTCCAATCCCCACCCCCAGAGAGCTGAGTTCCTCACCAGACGGTCAGACACGTAAACTATACGGTACCAAGGCCAAACCCTCGCCTTGTTCACTATTTCATTTTGGCTCCTTATTGATTATTGCATTCGCCTAATGGTACCCCGATTATACTATATACACCCCTCATACTTCACCCGCCCACACTTGAATCGGGCAGGTTCGATAGGGTTAGGTTGGTCGGGTTTCGGGTTCAGGTTAGTCGTGCTCGGGTTTCTCGAATTGCGAGTCAGTTGGGCTAAGGGTCATTCGAGTTACGGGTTCAACGGGTTGTGGGTTAATTGGGTTACAGATCAAGTAGGTTTGGATGGATCGGGTTTCAGATTTTTCGGGTTCGCGCATTGTGTTTTACTTAATCTTTACTCCTTACAACTTACACTTTATTTATTAAAGTAATTTCAAAAAAAAATTTAACAATTTTTAGACAATTTATGTCTATCATGTATGTGTACTTATATTATTTTTTGTGGAAATACCTATTAGAGTTTTAAAACCTTGTCATACTGCTAATTAATTTTGTATTACTTTAGATGATCGAGCTATTGCAGTTGAAATTGTCTGACTTAATATAACCAAACTTAGCCCTCATTTTGAAGCCCAAATGAATCTCAGGCACTACTTAAATAGACCAGAATTTTCTTTCTGTTGTAAACTAACACTTGGTCGCCACTCCGTGCGAGTTATTAATTGTTTTCACGGCTTAAACTATCCCATCTTGAGTCAAGTATAACTCAAGATGGGATTGTCAGTATACTGGTTGATCAAGGTCGTATTCCATGAGTCTTGATATATTGAGCTACTTCTCACTTGGTCGTTATCTACTCGATCAGGTTTATGTTTGTTTGGAGGACAAATGGAAATAACTTACTACGACAGCAGAGATAAAAAAACAAGTACTCAAGGCATCCATTCCCCAAGATACTAGGCCTATCGTGCAAAAGGATAACTCTGTCGGTTTATGGGAAACGAAGTGCGGGGCTCACTAATTTGGAGACTAGCTCAATGGTAATGCAACTAGCCCCCATCTTAATCTGATCCGCTGACCCAATGTCACCTCGATCATGTTCACAAACTAGGGATACAGTTATTCCCTTTAAATAGGTTGCACCTATCTGCACACTATTTCGATACGTCGATGGTCACGCACGTATCGTGCTAGCATTACCTAGATGTGCATCCCAACTAGAATGTGATGGTCACCACTCACCTCGACCACCAATTAGGCCCCTAGATCATTCATCTACATTAATTTGCCAAACCTCTCAAACTCACAACCATGTCATGCAAACCCTAACTAGGCAATCATGAAAAGCATATGGAGAGACAAGTTCAAAGCATAATCAACATAGATAAATGCATGTAAACACTAGGTAAACTCATTTTATTCACAAACCCTAACAAAATTCATTTTACATAATAAAACCTAAATCTAGGGTTTGGGGATTATATTCCTAGTACCTTGAGTAACTACCTTGTAAAGAGGGAAGAAGATACATAGAAGCATGGGAAAGAAAACTAGAGATGGGGGATTGATGGAAAATCCCTTCCTTCTTCTCCTTCCTTCAGCTTCTCTCTCTAACTTCTCTCTAGAACTAGAAATGTATTCAAGTGTTTCACCTCTCTTTGCAAAGGAGAAGAGATTCCCTATTTATAGACTTCATGAGGACGAGCAAGTTCGAGGTTGCGAGCTAAGAGGTCGTGAGTGTGAACATGGGGTGTGACGTCACGATCTTGAAACACAACATTTTTGCTCTAGCTAGCTCGGGAGTTCGCGGCCTGACTTCACAGTCGCTATTCATAAGTCACAATCGAGATTTTTTTCGTGGTCTTGGACAATTGAGACTGCGAGTCAACTATCGAAACTGTCTGTCCATTCCTTGGTAACTGCTTCCTCAAGTTCACGGTTGGCACTCCATATCGCGGAAGCGATCTTTGCTCCAGAGGTCGCGATCTCCTGGTTGACTTCGAGACTCCTCTTCTCGGTTATGATCTCTGTTGTGATCTCCTTGTTTTGCTCCTTTCCCTACACTTGTGACTCATTTTTGTGCTTAAAACACAAGTAGCATTTAATACATCCTTGGTTTGAATTTGGCTCATTTAGGGGTTGTTTGCTTGATGGATATTTTTCAAATCCACAAAGCAAACGACCCCTAAGTCAACCAAAACCTCTTCTCAAACTCTTGTCTAGCCACTCACTTTCAGCCATTTATTCCAACTCCTTCTATGACTTCACAAGACTCACAACCACTTAAGCTGTTAAGCATATACTCATACAATGCAATTTCCTTATCCTGCTCACAACCTATTCTGTGAGCAGGTACTCATAACGTGAAATGGGCTTCCACATTCCACCAACTAATTTGCAGGGCTATGATTTCTTTATTTTGGGAAGGGCTTGGGTAAGAAAAAATAAGGGGAGCCAAACAACTTTTAAGAGGGTGGTTCCTCAACATAATTGACATGAAATGTGTCGATCAAGGTTGTCGAACCGGTATTATACCGTTCTGTCGATTTAGCAAGTGGAATGATTATACCGGTGGTACAACTGGTTTGTACCATTTCATACCGGGTTAATAGAATGTGAAAAATGTGAAAAGTCATTAATATCAACCTCTAAATATAATATTTAACGTTAATAAGTAAAAGTTTATACTTGAATCCAACTAATAACATCAACATTTAACTTTTAAATTCATAAAATATATTATAAATTATTTTTTTTATTAATTAAATTCACTAAAATGACTTCATGTTACTTAAAAGTGTTAATTTGATCGTGCTAGTCAAACTGGTGGTGTTCTTGTTGATATTTCATAACCGACATCGGTTGACCCAGGTTCGACCGACATCGGTTGACCCAAGTTCGACCGACATCGGTTGAACTGAGTTCAATAAGACGACGGCCGGCATGCGACCGGCATGACAACCATGGTGTCAATCACCTTTCTCTTTTATTTATTTTTTCTTTTCTTCATTTCTTTTGGTCTCAGAGATGAGAATACTTGTTCTAAAACTTTGAATACTTTGGCGGTGTTTGAATACTTGTTCGGCGCCTATTAATATGTGTTCATTTGTTATGAATATGTGTTCGTATTAGAGATACTTGTTGGAAGCTTTTGAATACTAGTTCTGCCCGTTTAAATGCTTTCTTGTGACTTTTGAATATTTGTTTGACACCTATGAATACATATTCATAAGCGTTGAACGAGTACTCAAAAGCGCCAAAAAAGTCTTCAAAGGCGTCGAACAAATATTCAAAAGTGTCGAACTAGTATTCTTATATCTGAGACCAACAAATATTTCACACAAATGAACACGTATTAGTAAGCGTCGAACAAATATTTAAACGCACCAAAAAAACTATTTGGAATATCTAAACTAATATTCTCATCTCATAGACCAAGGGAGAAAGAAAAGGAGAAAAAAAAAAGTAAGTGGACATTAAATCTCAATTAAATTGTGAGACAACCTCAAAGAGTATTTGGCTCCTCTCTTTCTTTTTATCCATTCTCTTCTAAAAATAAAAAAATCCTAGTTATCCAAATATATAGGTGGGATGTGGAACCCTATCTCCCTTTGTGAGCAGAATAACCAAATTGCATAGAATGTGCCATGAGTAAGTTACAGTTGGATTGTGATGAACAAACCAAACGAGTACAAGGAAAAATAGAATACACCAAAAAAGGCCTGAATAGAAATTATATACTGCAACAATCGCAAGTACTTTCCAAAGCAAGCACTAGTTGGTTCATTGAAAACTCAGCTGCCTTCTCAAAATATCTATGTATAGATAAGAATATATACAAAGTTACCAACTAGCCTCATACCCCTATTATTGCATTGCACACTCCTGTTCAATTCCTAAGGCAACTATGATGAACTAACAATCGCTACCCCAACTACTGGTTTAGTCCACCACAAAATTGGTACCTTCCCTTTCCTGACTAAAACTAGCTGAAGAGCTTAGAGAGAGCAAACTATACACAAGGAGGAAACCAGAGTTCTGGAAAAAGACAGGACTACTATCGAAGCTTATTTTGAGCAACAGCATGGCATAACTCATCCTCATAGAAGAGAACGCGATTAGAAGCCAAAGACTTGCATATCGGCTTGGACAAAGCAGAAGGAACCACACATCTTGGGGGGAAAGCAGAATCCTGGAAAAGCACGGCTGCAATTTGCTTCATCTCTGTGATTTTCAGGCGAGAAGGTGGCCTGGGACCTTGTCTTGGTGCTTTAGGAGTATGGGGGCTTGGCAGTAAGACACTCTTTCCATCTCCCTTCCTGCCAATGGCCACCCCAAAACATGGGAAGTAAGTGCTTGTGAAGGGAAAAAAAAGAAAAATAGAATACAGCTATTGACAATATTGTTGAAGTCCGACTTACCCAACAAAAGGATAGTGCTCTGCAGGGAGCGGTGTCATTGTTCGCAACATCTCCTGTCTGGAACGATCTGGGGTGGTATAATTGAAATGAAATTGCCTGGCAATCACGACCTACAGCCATCAGATTATAAGCAGAGTCAACTACATTGTTCTGTTCTTTCAAAAATCCAACTCAGAAATGCGAGCAGAGGTGCTTACAGCCTTCCGAATCTTTCGAGAAACATGGAAAACTGCCCTTAGCTGGTCATGATGAAGGTGGCACAGGACATTAACCTGACATATAAGGAGAACAGCCTAAGTCGATACACAAAACTAAGACAAGATATGAAAGGGCAACAAAATGTTGTTCAGCGAAGCATGAAACGAGAATGAATCAAAATGGGTTTATCAGCTCATCTTAGCAAATCGCATGCGTCGTAATCCCAAAATGATCAGATTAAATCTTCAACCTT